CGTGCCTAAGCAAGCTCTCTCTCTCTCTCTCCCCCGGGCATGGGGGTCGGTCAAGACCCCCGGGCCACAGGCCCACCCGCATTGTTTTAATGCTCTCTCTCTCTCTCTCTCTCTCTCTCTGTCTCTCAACCACGACGCAAAACTTGACCACACCACGCAAATCACGTTTTTTTGCTTGCACAAGTCAAGTTTTTGGGCATTTTCCAACTTATGTAGATATTATTTTCTTATCTTTGCATCGTATGTACTCAGCCGTCTGGTTGATCCAAAGACCTGGTCGAGATATTTATGTCCTTTGTGCTCCACAATATTAAGCAATTTTTATGCAACTATGCAACCACCCCTTTCACATATGCAATCATGTATTCCATCGAGCACATCCCGGTTGAACTCTGTGAGCCAGAGAAAGAAATTATCCCAAACCCCTGGCGCGTTCGGACGTGGTTAAACACTTCAAGATTAGCTACTAGTACAAAAACCCATGAGGCGGCAGAATCTGCGAGCCTGACTGAGAAGGGCCTGAGTCGAAATCCCCAAAGTTATGGGGTCAGTCCTAGGAGCCATTTTTCCGAACCAGGACGTTTCTGAATCGGGACCCTCAATGCGAAACCCTTACTGTAGTCTCCAACGAATTCCGAAAGAGCCCAAGACTCCTTGTTTAAGGAAGCTGCGTGACACTGTCTTCTTAAGAAGACTTCAGGTATTCCCAAGGAGGCCATGACTGTCTTTCTAAACTCTCTACAGCAACCACAACCATACCGGCCTTGACCGCAATCACGCTCACGACCACAACCAGCAAGACCAACCAGAGCCATACGCAGTCACTTTCCTTTAGCCGCAGGCGCTGTCCTCATGGAAAATCCGGAGCAGCGGGAAGCCAGCGACCGCATCTCGCTGCGGAGCTCCTGCATCAAAGGGCATACATTAAGTAGTACACACTCAAACAGGAGCAGCTCGGTTCGGGTCTGACCTCGGTGGTGTGGTAGAATCCCGGCAGCCCTGGCCGGGCAGGCAGGTCTTTGACACCTAAGATGCATGCAGACACGATAGAGTTTTTTGCGTCTCCGGCCTGGGCTCGCAGGTCGTAGCCTGATGGAAGGAAGCTGAGCAAGAGACTCTCGCTAGACGTTGCTTCGGCAGCATTAAAGCTGTCCTTGTGAGTTTACATTGCTGGAGTCTTTAGGTTGAAGGATCTTTTCTTGCACGGATGCAAATGAGTAAACTTGTGAGGCTTCTTGTGAGGAACTTTGTGCGAAACCTGTGCGAAAACGCACGCCCTGGCTGGCTGCCTTCACCACTTCGCTTGAATATCAAACAGTCAAGCATGGCACCAACTCACAGGAACTCGCGCGGTGCTGACTTCCTCACAAGAAACTTCACAGGAAGTCCTTGACCAGACAGCCTCTCTTGCAGGAAGACTCACAGGCTTCTCACAGGCAAAACCTTCTAGAAAATCACGAGGCTGTCCCTTTATGCATGTTGCATCTTCTGGCCTTGTCTTCACCTTTGCTGCATGGGCCAAAGCCCAAACAGCTACGCTCAGCACCTCGTCACACATAGCTGCAAAGCCCTGCCCTCTTCTCCATGAAAACATGGAAATAGGCAGGGGGTGCCTATGACTGGCCGCAGTAACTTAATCATCGGAGCTCTGTTGCTGGACGTCGGTTTCGCGTTTTGCCCACGCAGTCGAATGTTGGCTGTCTGAAGCAGGAGTGCGAGGAGAGCATCCAGTAAACCGGAAACGTCTTGGGTGGCTGTCCGCATACCTGAAGAAATACCGACCCAGCACCTCAGTCCTCAAACCCAGTCGAATTTTGGTCCAAGCATCTGAGCCGCCAGCAAGGTACTTCATTGATGCAGCACAGCCTTCACACCGACACGTTGGTTAGGAAATAAATATATATACACACATATATATATATATATGTGCATGTATATGTATATATGTATATGCGTATATGTGTATATAGTAGACATATACATGCAAAGAGAGACAGGGAAAGCTCGGAACGGTTCGGGTGTGAACGATTCTGCTGCTTGAGTCCTCTGGACGACCGATCTCTTCCTCTGGCCCCACTTGCCTACTGGCCTCAAAGGCCTATCCAAGCTTCCAAGAGCCCGTGTCTTCGTCGCGGTCGCGGAAATTTTGATCTAGACTTGTGCGCTCTTCTCGCGCAATTCCTGCATACATATTTTGACGCCTACACTCGGACAAGTCCAAGCCTGGTCTGCCAAAGCACGCTGAGAAGGAAAGAATTCGACAGAGCCAGATTCACTCTTGCCGGGTCGAGACTCGTCCATCAGTGCGGGTTGGGCGGGTACCGGGGCACGGCTTGCCCGATGTGCCAAGTCTTGCCCTACTTCGCATATCGCTCGATGCTTCCAGAGGCAAGCATGACAAGTGGGTCAAAATGAACAGCCTCTTCCGGACGAAGACTGGCACCAGTTGGGATACTAGGGCCACAAGGGCAATAACCGCTGTGGGCGCAGCTGGTGCTCACAATCTGAGATGTGTCAATCCAAACAGACAGTGCTCAAGTCGGAGGCTGCAGTCGTGTCAAGAAGCAGGTGGGGCAAACGACAGAAACATCGTGGCAGAATGCGACGCTCGATGTTATAGGTACAGCAAGTGAGAAACGGCGGCAACAAATTGAAAGAATTTACACCGAAAGCACGTGCACACGACAGCGGCTCGCTGTACCTGTTTTGCTTTGCTCAACCTGAAGTGCACTGACCAGCGCACGCCTGCTTGAAGCATTGCGGTTGCAGATGCCGAAACACCAACATGCAACCGAATCCAAATCTGCTCGTCTGCAGGCTACACCCTCGACATTACACTCTCATTAGACATGATCTGTTTTTCGTTTCCAAACACATCCAAAGTAAGACTGCTGGTGCCAAGCACATTGCGAGCATGCACCAGAGGATGGATAGCATGCTCGGAGCTCATGACATGTCAACGGTTCATCTGTCGCGAGTGCCCGCGTACGTACACATGTGGAAACGATAGGTAAATACAAACATAGACATGCACGCACGTACTTGTACGTGGAGGAAAGATTGCTCGGGCCCGAGATGACGCACGGTTTGTCCTGGGCCACGAGATTTTGATTGCAGATCTTTCTGCGCTCTAGTTTGGCCCTGCCTGGTGTTTATGAAGCAGTTGCCTAAACCATCTGGATTTTGAATTTTGTATATACATATTAATACCAGGCCGGTTTGCTGGGTGGCTTTCCCTGCCATACTCGAATTTTGCACTAACGTATTTGCCTGCAGCAGAACACTCTAAAAGTCTTTCGCGTAGTTTCCATTCAACATCTGGATCTACGCATGCGTGCACAGCACCACACGGACACACGACACACATGGTACTGTATATCTTTCTACATCTGCAAGCAGAGAGATGTGATGAAGTTGAAAGAAAAATTTAAAATTCACACAGAAGAACTACTTGTAGCACAGGCCGCAGCAAAGTAGGGTGGATGAAGGTATACTGTTGACGGGGAGGCACTCTCCAGAACTACAGGCGCATGAGACTCCCTGCTGATTTACACATCTACAAGAATCTGAATCTGTCAACGGCCACAAAGACAAACACAGGCACCCACAAGACTTAAAAATCCGTCAGCCTGGGCACACGTGCCCGCAGCCAGTGGCTTGAGCCGAGTCCAGCAAAACATCCCGGCAAATGCTGACGTGGCCAAGACCGTGCGCAGGATTATTGCAGGCTAGGCTGCTGCGGGGCTCGGCCTGATGCAAACGAGCCGTGTTGTCCGAGGGAGCATGTCGGGATCAGTAAAACTAGCTGCAAGGAAAACAGTGGCAAAAGAGAATCTGCTGCACGTGGCCGGCTTCTGCGCAGGAACCACATGCTGTAAAATGGAAGGTCGCTGGAGTCTGCTGGTCCAGGCTTAATGCATCGCCAGCATATGGGAAGCATCAATTCATCAAACAGGAACTGTGGCACTACGAACACGGTGTGTCAGATGTCTGCTGTAGACTGCGGAAGATGCTTCGCAAATCTTCACAGTGGTAGTTCTTGTATCGTTGCACTGTACAAATTCGAAAAACGCATCATCAGTGCGCTCAGCAGGAACCTGTTGTGACACAGCCGGCCGGAAATCGTGTTGTTGCAGCTCTCTTCTGTGCAGAAAGTAATTGATGTACTTGGCAGTCACCGCTGACTACCCTCATGCTGCGCCACGACTGGGCGTGCCGGGCGAGGCTTGTGGGCACACTTTTTTAGCAGGCTGAAAGGTTAGTCAACAACACGATTCCAGCGCAGCCTCTCGCGTCCAGATTCGAAGCAGCTGAGTTCCAAAAGGATGACCCGCATATCTTTCGTTTCTCAACGTTCGGCGCTCTCTGGACGAAGGCTCTTCATTCGCCTTTCAAAGACGGAAACGCTAACCATGTCTGAGCAGGCATCGTCAGGAGCGTGCGGCAAGGTATCGCCTGCCGACCGTGTTGAACTTCATGCTAGGGCTAGGGGGTGGAGCAAATGGTGGCTAACCAGGAAAATCGCATCAACACCCTCATGCCCAGCAGTATTTTGCTTCTGCCATCAGACAGCGCCAAGCAGCTAGCCCTGCCTGGCTTGTCGGCTGCTCGGCGGCAGTTTCCACGGTTCTGGGCAGCTTCGCATCCAAAGTAGCTGATACCTTGAAACATGGGCAAACATATTGTCAATGGCGCGGGCACAACCACCGGCCCACAACTCTCTGTAAAGGCTCTATACTCGACCGCGCTGGGCTCTGGACGGAAGCAATGGAAAGTGTGTCCTGCGAAAAAACTGCACGGCACGATGTATGCCATGTATGCAACCTTGTGCTGCTTGTTGAATGGAACACACCAAACGAGAGGAAAACACTTTGTCAAATCTTTGCTGAACGTTGGAGCTGCGCCTATCGGGGTGATCCTTCTTGTCATGGTGCCAGTAGCCAAGGTCGTTCAGACTGATCGTACAAGGGCAGATGAGCTAGCTTCGTCACCAGAGCGGTGTTTTTTATTCTGTTTCAATCCTAAGGACGCAAAACCCCCTTCCGCAACACCCTTCCGCCACTGCTTCCGCAGCCTTCCGCGCCTCGAAGCGTTGGCACGTTTCCGAGTCACTTCATGTCGTCCCTTCCGCGTGCCCTTCCGCGGACCGTTTTGCGAGCGAACCCTTCCGCAAGAGCATAAACCCCACTTCACGTATTACGTTAACTCCTTTCAGCGAATGCGGGCAGCATAGTTTATCGGCATGCCTCGGGCTTCCTGGAAGCAGACCTGAACCCCGGAAGAGTACAGCATTAGCTGGTTCGGTTCGCTGTCAGGATTCAGGCTTCCATTCATTACGTGTGGCTGACCTTGAGTCTTCGAGGTGAGTCCTCGCATGCGCTCGCCTCTCGCGTGTCCTTGTCCGACATCGACCTGAGAAAAGGTCGCATGAGCAAGAATGCCAGCGGTTGATGTTGCGATGATGTTACAATCCCCTCACCGTGTGCCTTGATATTGTTTCTCCAGTGTGTGTTGAGGGCGTCGACGGCGCACGCTTGTGCTTGGCCACGACGGCCTGGACCGGTTATGTCCAGGAAGTGTTGCAGATACGGCATCAGCACGAGCGCTTCACTTGTGGAAATAGCACTGTACTTCGCTAGTCCGCTGTGAACCAAAAAAGCTCGTCCTCCTTCGGCGAGTCAAAGCGCATGTTGAAAACTGCCTGGCATGACACAAGACCCCCTGTCCCACAGGCATGCTTGTGCAGGGTCGTGCTGTATACATACACAATGACAAATAAAGTAATTCTTACATAAACTGGTAAACGCATAAATAACATAAAGGTAAGTACATGAAGAAACGGGCAAACACGCAAGACACAACAATAAGCAGTATATATATATATATAGGTATACACACATGCATACACATACAACATTACATATACATATAAATTGCATGTACACATACATCATTAGTTATTTACATGTATGCCATATAAACACGTATAGATCAGCGGACAGACAGACAGACAGACACTCTCACTCGGACACAGACACAGACAGTGCAGAGAGAGAAACGGCGGCGTTTCAGCAGCTTTTCGGTTCAAATCCCTACACGGCTCTTGCATAAGCGCATTCCCGAAGGTGCCTGGTTGCGCATCGGTCTGGGTGGCAGCAAAGGCGCAGTCCGCGGATCGTAGGGATCACCTCAGCACAGACGTTCTGCCTCGGCCTCCTGCTGCAACTTGCTGCTGCCCACAAAAAATTCCGCTCAATCGAGCTGCTGTCGGGGTCGTATTCCACCCACACTCCGTTCATCTCGACCACTCCAAGCGCCTCCCCAGAAGGAGGAGCAAGTTAAAGTTGAGCGTTTTTGTACCAGGACTCGTGCATTGGCCAGTTTAAGCTAAGCTGAAACTGAGAATGTGGACACGAAAGCTGGGATGGGTTGAACTTCCGGTTATGGCTGGGTGCGAAACATGACTGCGCAATTAGATCCATTCAAGCCCAGGACTGATTCTCATCCCTCGAAGGCTCAGCAACGACTGCGGCAGCCCGGTCGGTCCCGTCGCAATATAATTATCCAACACGAGTAGGCCCTGAAACTGACTTGCAATCGAACATGTCTTGCCTTCCGTGAGCCCCCACTCCTGACCGGAGACCGAGGCCATTTCTTTCGCTTGGCCCCCTTTCCAGCAAGCATGTGAAGGATGACATGGAAAGTGTGGGCAACCGTGGGCGGGTGTTGGCACATCTTGTTGTCTTGGTGCTTTGCATAGTATTGCTTGGCAGGCACATCAGCACAGGCTACTTTGAGGCATCTGCACCATAGAACAATGTGTCAAATGGGAAAACAGTACCCTCTGGGCAAGCGGCGGGCAGCAGGGATCGCAAGTCTGAGCCTGAAAGAAATCCAAAGCTTGATGTATAGCTGGCTTTGTCACTTATATATGCAAGCATGAATACTTCGAAGTGGATGGCACGCCAAGGGTCTCTACCTCATGGCACCCCTCCTTCAAAGACGACACATCTGAGGCCTGAACAGATTTTGTAGGCCCCAGACAAACACGAGGCCTGATAGCAGTGACGCAGCGGACTACGTGGAGGGGGGGGGGGGGGGGGGGNNGGGGGGGGGGGGGGGGTGTGGGTTTTGCAAGGAGGTCCTGGCCTCGCTCAGCAGGCTGCGCCAGTTGCTCGGGGACATGGCCATTGCTTAAGTTGAGGCCAAAACTGGGCACTTAGAATGCTTGGCCCTGGAAAAGAGATCGCAGCCCATGCCACGAGTGTCATTGAGCAGGCAATACTGTTAACGCTCAAGATAGTCTATGCTACATGGCGCTTGTGAGGCAATGCACCACCAGCTGCTTGAAACGTGCGGACATCGTTGGTGTCGCGCATCTAACCTCTGGTCGCATCGGCCACATTGCGCATTCTCCAATGTACGAGACCTTTTCGCGACGCAAAATACCACACTTCACTTGCAGAGGTCTGGCCGAACATGACACATGCCAGCCGAACTTAAAGTGGTCTCACCTTTGCATTCTGCAAAAAGCGATACCACGACAGGGACCTGAGACCGAGAGATGCACGAGTTTGGGAGCCCGGGCCTGTGCTTCATAGGGCTGCAGTCTTTTGATGACGGCTTTGTGGCCTACTCAGAGGTATTTCCCCGTCAATCCACAATACTCACCAACATGAAACTAAGAGACTTTCTTCGGGGACGCAAGGTCGTAGTGGCACGTCCGTCATATACGCTGGCACTACATATCCTTCGCGATGCTGCGCAAGTAACCTGTCGCAACATCTTTGTTTTCTGGGTGGGCAGTCCTCTTGTTGCACCTCTCTTCAGGTTTGACTCGCGCTCTTGCACGAATTCGAGTTTGGATTCGAATTCGGTGGTGTCACTGTTTGCAATCCAAGTGGCTGGAGCGGTCCTAGATGCAAGTGAAGAGTCTTTTGAAGTTCTGCCGGCACGCGGTCTGACTACACGGGAATTGGAAGCTCATCCCCTGGACAGCATACGCGGGAGCTAGGAGCAATTCCATGCAAGCGCTTGTGTCATGCCGGCGGGTAGCTGCTTTGAACTCTGAGTTGCAGCTTTGCTCTTTGCTGACGGTTGTGAGTAAACTGTAATCCTGCCGTGTGCTGGTGCCAGTTATCGACGCGAAACTCTGCCAGGCATCGTGTCACTGAAACGCTCGGAAACGGCACAAGCCGCCTTTTGATAATGCATGCTCCAAATGGGGTCTTTCAATTGCTGAGCTCCGGTAGGGCCTAGGAGGCAACTAGCATATCTATAGGACGCGATGCTATGCGACATACAGGAACCATGTTGCGGTACATTCCAGCAAATGCAGCCATGCGGTTTCCTCCTTGCGGCTCTACGGGCCCTCAGCGCAGAAAAGCGCCCCTCTGTTTCATGCGCTGTGTCCAGCAGCGGCGGCATAAAGTGACGAGAAGGACAGCACATTGCCCAGCACAATGTGCAGCTACATGGCGCTTTTTTGTGGGAGGAAGCACCTTGTCAGCATATCCTACCACAAGACCCGATGCTAGGTCAGGGTATGATGCACGCCAGAATCCAGGCTCAGGCATCGCTGGCCTCATTGGCCTGGGCCGTATCCTCCACCACTACACTCTGCAGCGAGACCGGCTGGGCCGATGCCACCAGGCGGCGTGCCTCTGGCGGGTCGCGCGCCCTATGGTAAAGGCCTAAAGGTTCGTAATGCCCTCAACCGCGGCCTTTGTTCGCTTTCCACGACTCTTCCTGGAAGCCTCACGAAAAGAACATGGCTGTGGGAGGATCCAGCTCTCTGTGGGCAAGTTGTGGACGCAGCTTACGAAACATAACGAACACCTCGGCAACTTCATGCGTTAGGCTATGGCCACCTGCCTCTTCGTCACCATGCTCCCTGCGCAGGATAGGAACTGCTCGCCATACTTTGCGTCGGGCTGTGCGAGGGGAGTGCACCTCAAATCGGGGATGTAGAAAGATGCAGAGCAGGCCTTGTTTCGAAGCGAGTCCTCCGAGCTCCCGACCTGTTTGCAACTCTCTGGTTGCGCCCTAAGTTTCAACAAGCCAGGTGTTGGAGCTTCGTCTGCCGAGCTGCAGCTCTAAGTGTATTCAAGACGAATGCATGACGTCATGCTTGCAGCTTCCAGTGCCAATGCAGATTGAGTGCAGTCGGGTCTCTCCGACTGCGATCGCTTGCTGGGCGACAGGTGCACAGCTTCCTCGTGTCTTGGCAACAACTGTAAGCAGCCTTCCTGGTCGACTTATTGCTGGCAAAGGCGCAGGCAACGGCTCATTGCAGGTGCTCGTCGCATTGAGCACGGCGTCTGTCGACTGCATCGATGTGGCATTGGTGTCTGCTGGCGAAACACCAACGAAAGACGCCTGTGCTGCATTCAAGCGTGTCGCTTCGTGGCCATGCCATGCATACAAGCTTCGAAGCTGAACTCGCAGCCTCGAGCTTACTGCAGCCCCGGTGCCAAGCTTTGTCCGCTCCCGCTATGTCGAGGGCATGTTGGAGTCTTGATGGTTTTGGCGCTCCGTCGCCAACCTTCGTGCAGTGTTTGTGTTCTGGCGCATGCAATGCCAACCAAGTCTTGATCCGTTGGCCACTACAGCTTAAACTTAAACTCAAACCGCCAGCTTGCACTTCAACAGCCCACCTTTTACTGCTCAACAACATTGCCAAGCAACAGGCGTAGCGACATCAGGGTGGGAGTATGAACTGCAACTAGAACTGACAGAACTGATGTTCCCCGGCCGAGGGAAACGCCAAAAGTGCAAGTGTGCGACTGAGTCGCAAAGAATAAGAGCAACGCTTGCCAGAATTGAAGCACTTGCGCTGCCAATCGTTATGGCCTCTGGCACGAGACCTCATCTGGGGACAAGGCGACATTAGCCGAAGCAGACCACCCGATCCAAAGCGAGACAGGTTTTCTTGAAATGTCGGGGCAGTCATAGTGTGACGAGGCTGCCATAAGGGTCGGCTAACATCTTGTACGCAAGTGGCGAGAAGCAGAGTCCATGACAGTCAGGCCGAGGAAAATACAAAACCAATTGGAAAAGCTCCGCCCTTGAGGGCCTCGCAGCAAAAATAGTTTGTCGCACATGGACCTTCAAACCATATATCATATATCCTTGAATGTCTGCTGTTCTGCTCTAAGATTAGCGCCCTTCTCCACGACCTCAACCACAAAACAGAATTTGAGCAGCCAGGGCACTGGGATACCTCGACTCTGTGCTGCTGGACAAGGCTCCCGCTGGAGTTGTCTGCAGAACCTCCCGGCTTTGCAATTTCATGGTGGCTTGCTCGGCAGTTCCACCACTTTCCCTTACCTCCAGTATCGGCTCGCCCATCATGGACACCATGACGGCCACTTCTGCCAGTTCCGGCTGCGACAGAAATGCCTTTCTTGTGGCACACTCTCTTTACTGCCATCGGTCGCGAAAGCTTAGGCAGTGGGGCCTCTTTGAGCTTGGTCGCCATGTCTGTCTTCGTCGCGCTGCTGAGAGCAGCTCGCACCTGCAAGCGGTGCAGATTGGCGCCAGTTCTAACATTGTCTTCACACGTTCGCGTGTTTGTCCGTATGTAGCTGCAGCATACATGCAGTAGTCCGCATGTGTTGCAGTACACGAGCGCCTTTTCTGCCATCTCTTCGGAATCGCGGTCCAGCGTCGCAGACGTCGGTATACGGATCTCGTAACCTGTTGGCTGCACTTATCCGATCAGATATGACGCACCTTCCCCGGCAGAGGAACACAGAACTTAGCCCGCTGCCGGTGACAATCTCAGACGTGTTGACGAGTTCTTGCTGAAGTCGACGTCCACACTCCGCAAACCTGAATTAGTTGAGAAGCCTGAAACTAGTTAGATTTTTTGAGCTCTTTCTTGGTTGTTGTGATGTCCACCACCTTGCACGCTTTTAATAGCTCTCGTGCTTGCTTGCTTCTGAGGTGTGTTTGGCATTGGAGGGTCTCGGACAGTCGCGGAGCACGTCCCACTGGCAACGTGCATTGACTTCACCGTTACGCCGGTTTGCAGTGTTTTGGGGCGTTCTGCTCCCCTTGTTGATCGGGCTTGAGGTCTTGCGTCGGTCTCCATGTGAAGGACAGTGCAGCATGCACGGGCTGCCTGGGAATGCCATAACCGCAAAGCTCCAGATCTCCATCTTGTGGTACAGACTGCTGAGCTGCCGACACGCCCTCGACGTTGACAGAGACTGCTTCCTGCATTGAAAAAGTCTCTCTCAGAGGATGCGAATACCCGCGCCGGACCTTGCCTCAGCAACGCCGGCGACTTCCGCCAGAGCCCAACGAAGAGCTGCAAGGAAACCCACAGAGGACGCGACCTGGGCACCCAGCTCCCTAATTCACACATCCTACAAATCCTGTCGTTCGTCAAAGTCAAGCCGCTGGATGCGAAAGCTGCAAGACTATGCACGAGGACCTCGCCAAAACAGAGCACACAATTCAACGTTAGGACATGGCGGAGAAGACTAGGAAACAGAATGATCCGGGGGTGCTGCACGGTGATCGGCCAGGTGGCCCTTGGTTTGAACATATTCAGCAACTCGCCGACACGGTCCCATGTCCATGTCCGCCACAGCACCAAATGCGGTCTAAATCAGGTACAGAGATCGCAATCGAGTTTCCAAACGGAGGTTGAAGCCTGCTCAAATCATGGCAATCATGGTTTGACAAAGGCTGGGTATGACGATTTACTTTGGGGATCTGTGCCCTTCCGCTATGCTACGAATAAAGATGTGCACATGCTGCCCACCTCGGTTGTGTCGGTGGGGTTGCTGCCGCTCGTCGTTGATGCCGCCACATGATCATCTAGATCTTCCGACATAGATACAGACGTGCTCGCACCCGCAGTCGTGCTCGGAGAATTGCTGACCGTGCTGGTTACCATGGCATTTGTGGTGCTTGAGCCGTTGAGGTTGGTTGTAATGGTGGCAGTGGTGGTGGCAGCACTGGAATCGCGGGTGCTGCTTCTTGTGGTGCTAGTAGTGGCACTTGTGCTGTCCATAGAAGTGGCAAGGCCAGACGATGTGGAAGTCGCGATTGTTATGCGTATACTGCCAGTTGTGGTGGTCGGGGTTGTGCTGCTGACAGTCGCCACAATGGTGACCGTGGCCGAGGCCGTAAACGAGCGACTGGCCGAACCAATGCTGGCCGTTGTAGTCGTGCCTGTAATGGAAGTCGATCCTGTGACTGTCACGTGTGTGGAACTTGTCACGCTCCTGGTTGTCGTCGCACTTGCTGCGAGGGCAACTTGTGTCGTGCCTGTGGTACTTGGGAAACTTATACCGGCTGTCGAAGTCGAGGTCGTCTTCGTTGTTATTGCTGCTGCTGTCGCCGTTGCTGCGGTACTGCTAGTTCTGGTGTGGGTGTTTGTGGTGGTGGTGGTGGTGGTGGTGGTGCTGCTGCTGCTGCTGGTCATGGTTTTCGTGGCGGTCGCAGCAGTGGCGGCCTGGATCGTGGTGGTGGCAGTGACGGTGGTGGTGGCGGTGTCGCTGGTGCTGGTGGCGCTGCTGGCGCTGGTGCTGGTGCTGCTGGTGCTGGTGCTGCTTGTGACAATGTTGGTGCTGGTGGTGCCGGTGCCGGCGCTGCTTGTGGTAATGGTGGTGCTGCCGGTGCCAGTGCCACTGCTGGTGCTGGTGCCTGTGCTGGTGCTGGTGGTGCTGCCGGTGCCAGTGCCACTGCTGGTGCTGCTTGTGGTAATGGTGCCGCCGCTGGTGCTGGTGCCTGTGCTGGTGCTGCTTGTGGTGATGGTGGTGCCGGTGCCGGTGCTGCTTGTGGTAACGGCGGTGCTGCTGGTGCCAGTGCCAGTGCTGGTGCTGCTTGTGGTGTTGGTGGTGCTGGTGCCGGTGCCGGTGCCGGTGCCGGTGGTGCTGCCGGTGCCAGTGCCACTGCTGGTGCTGCTTGTGGTAATGGT